CAATTTAAATCTAGAAAAAAATATTTATATATAGAAATAAATTCGATCGCTGTAAGACGAAGAAGGCTCGAATATGTCATAATGTTGATTTTGTAGACAAAAACAAAACGTCAAAAGTATATTTGCATATATGCTTGCTTTTATCGGTTCTATGCAAACATATTTACCTATCTCCGAGTCAATAATCTATGTAAATTGTCTTGGAGAGAATACAAATAGGAGCAGAAGCAGAAGAACGAGAGAGAAGACATGGAGAACAAGCTGAAAACTCTCTACCAGCTGTCCTCGGAGCATCCCATCTACCGTGCCGTTGACGTCACCCTGGAGTACCACACAGAGCTGAGGATCTACCGTATGATGGTGAAGTGCGACCTGCCTCCAGAGGCGCCGGTTTGGGTGGTTGGGGAAGCCTCCCGTAGTTTGGGGGCCCGCAGTCGGTATCTCTGTGTCGGAGTGTGTTTCCGATCGACCGTCACCGACCACTGGGCGCAATACAAGCTCGATCTTGTACAGTGTAGACATTGGAACCAAACCCACGGTATGAACGAGTCCCGGATAATCTCAAATGACATGAAGGTGGTCGCGCATAGGGTGGAAGGTATGGAAGGCGGAGGCAGCCTCCACTCCCTGCAGATCGCCCACTACAGCGTGCCGCCCGCGGTGGACACCATCAACATCTGGGTGGAGGCCACGCTACTGGAGGAGATGTTCTACCATGCCCTTGTCACCAACAGAATCTCTGACCATTTCTCCTTAACATCTTTTAAGAACCCGAACTTCTACGGTCACTTCGAGAACCCACCAACCTTCCGTACCTGCGCTAAGATCGGCATGGTCTACAAGGACAAAATTAAGGTTTATAAATGGATTGACACTTCATCGGACTAAAGTGGGGGACAGCAGTCTTCCTATCTTGTTCACAGTGGAATTGCACAATTAAAGGTGATAACTATTTTTAGTCTATTTTTTTTTCTGAACACTTTCTGGGAGAATAAATTCTCACCCGTCTGGAATAAAATGTGGGATTACAAACTAACACACAGGAGATGTTTACAGTGTCGGGTGTTTACATCAAGTCCTATATAGAATTCGGAAGGATTTGAGGACAAACTGATGGGAACTGCCGGATTTCAATCAAAGCACACATATGTTCAATTAGTTAACGATAATCGTTTAAAATGGATTGCTCGATTTTCAACAACATATATATATATAATTATATATATATAAAATAATGAAGGCATATCCTGACCAAAAGCACATTTGCTTTTTAGATGGCACAGCGCCATATATATAAAGATAATTCGAAATTATAGGCGCGTATGATTCTTTTGAAAATTAAAAATTTCTACTGCCCTTACAGCAATTAAAAATTAATGGGAGGGCCTGGCTTATCAGTGGTGAACCCTCCCAGCGGTATGGTAGATAAACTGGCGAAACCGCTGGGAGGGTTCGCCACTGATGAACCAAGCCCTCCCATTAATTTTACATTACAGTAAGGGCAGTAGAAATAGTTTTAATTTTTAAAAGAATAATACGCGTCTATAGTTTCGAATTCTCATAAAAGATGGCGCGCTAATGTATCATTAATATAAACAGTTATCAGCGTCATGCGTTCTTAATTCTGTCGCCGTTTGCTTTTGGTTCAGTGGTAGAATGCTCGCCTGCCACGCGTGTTCGATTCCCGGCCGATGCATTTTTTTTTTTTTTTTTTTACAATTTTTAAAACTCATATATTATAGTGGCGGGCGGGCCCGGGTTCGATTCCCGGCCGATGCATTTTTTTTTTTTTTACAATTTTTAAAACTCATTTATATATTATGCAAGAATGACATCCACGGCGCCAATTTATAATTGTAACGAATAGTATTTTAATAAAAGCATTTAATCGGGTAAACCCCGGGCGTTGCCCGGTTCATTCGGCTAGTATTATATATATATATCAATTTATGTGAAATTTTCTGGACATTAAGTAATTAAAAAGGTTCCTGAAGATAAGTTTCTTTTTTTTTTCAATCATGTCTGATGCCAAATAGTCAGGTGGCGTTTTATTCGTTTTATATATGTTTTCCTGTAGAAGTGCAGAGATGCCCGAAAGCTTGAGACTGTGTGTGCTATAATAAAAGAAACTCATCCCAGAAACCTTTTAAAAATTTTAATATATTTTTTTAAATGAAATTGACTCTTTAGTTTACTCTGATACATTTTATGTAAAAGTTGCACTTCTTCAATTGAGGTGGTATCGACTGAGATTAGTTTGATTTAAAAGTAAATTAATTTGCGCGAGTTTCATATTACAAATGAAATTTAAACAAACACTACCAAATAGTTCCAATAACCTCAATGTTTTTATCCCTGGTGATTGTGTATAATTGTTGCTACTAAAAGAAAACTACGTATTTGGAGATAAGATCCTTGTATTATAAATACATTTCTAGATATAACAAAGTTGCGGAAAGGTGATATTCATATACCAAAAGAGGCATCAATCCTGAGCGAAAAAAATGATTAAAAAATTATGATTGCAGTAAGGGAGGTATAAAATTGATTTATTTTTAAAAGAACCATACGCGTCAAAATAGTTAAAATTCTTATAACAGATGGCGCGCTAATGTATCATATTAAAATTGTATTTTAAAAATTCTATATACAGTTACGCGCGTCATTCTTAATCAGTCATCTCTTTCACCGTTTGCTTTTTTTTTTTTTGAATGGCGCCCTCCTATTGGTTGGCTACGGTCACGCCACATTTGCCCCCCCCCCCCACTCGCCATTTCGTCTTTGTAACTATTGTGTTGAGCGGGTCGCTCCCTAAATAAATGCATATATTAGATAATAACCAAATGGAATCCTCTCTTCTTTTTCCCAGTAAGAGACGCCTACGGAAGCCAAAAGTACATAGACAGATAAAGCACATAGGCTATAGTTATTAACTAACATAGGCAATTATTTAAGGCGCCAATTTATAATTGTAACAAATAGTATTTGAATCAAAACATTCAATCGGGTAAAACACGGGCGTTGCCCGGGTCATTCGGCTAGTCAAATATAAAAAAGAGAGAGATAATAGAATAAAGCCTAAACAACAACTAATTTCTCGGCCTAATAATTAAATACTCTGATTTTCCGTTTTAAACTTATTTTATTTTTCTACATAATCTCACTTGACTTCAACACACTTAGTCCAGGGTTTCTTCAATATCAGTATTCTTTCCGGCAAATAAGAGTCTGGAAGGCTGTTAAAATATTTATCTACAACCTCTTAACTTCTTCATAGGGCGCGAAGCGCTTTTCAGAAACAACTTTCTTTAGGCGTGAGAAGAGATAGAAGTCTCTTAGGAAGCCAAATCAGGAGAATAGGGGGGATGGCCGAGAAAATGGTAACTCAAATCCTTATGTTTCCCATTACCGACACACTTTGTGAGCAGTGCGTTGACCTGGTGAAAGATATATATTTTTAAATTCCTTAAGTCAGGCCTCTTTTCGCAAATTTTGGCATCCAGCTGGTCAAGAAGGTTAGAGTATTTTTTCTTGTTATATCTCTGCCCTTTTCAAGGTAATTATCAGGAGCCCTTTGACATCCCAAAACACACCAGCCATGACCTTCCCGGCAGATACGATCGTCTTCGCTTTCTTTGGAGAACCACAGACTTCCACCCACTGCTTCGACTGCGGTTTGGTTTCTGGCGTGTAGTGGTGGACTTATGTCTCATTCATGGTGACAATTCGCCGCACAAAATCGGTCGGATCCCTTTTGAATAGTTCCAAACATTTCTGAGAATGTCGTTTGCGCATTTGCCTTTGATCTGCATTAATAAAAATGCGGCACCCACCTTGCGCAGAGCTTTCGCTAATTCGTCGTGCAATATGAACCTACGGGCAATATGAACTTACGGGAGATATGAAGCTATGACAATTTGACAATTAGAACACTTTTATTGACTTCTTAGTCAATATTTACATGAAAAAGGAAATGAATCTATGGGCGATATAAACTTACGGACTTATGTATAGTTATAAGCGATATGAACTTACGGGGCGATATAAAGTCATGAGCTATATGAACATACGAGTGATATGAACCCACACCTGATAGAAGCACATCAGCAAAGAAAGAATATAGGAATGTATCAGAACTCGACTTTATAGTCTCACAATCTTTCAAAATGTCTACCAATGCACTTCATACTTCTAAACCAGTCATCGCATACCTACTCTTCCAAATATACTGTCCTCAATGATCACGTGCGAATTATAGCGCGATATTTCCACGTATTCGATCCAGGATGACATCTAGAAATTTAGCTCTGGGGTACAATTTAGGTATGAACAAGACTCTGGATCTCATGTCCTGTCCTCTCATTGTTCTGTCTTTCAGGCGGAAGCCCTTTGATTGGTTAAGGCACTTGAAAACGCAACCACTTTACCAAATCATCTAACCTTAGGATTCTTCCTGGACAACCTCTCAGTCGTGAAGTCAGTTCTGAACTCTAAGACTGGTAATTACCTTATCGACAGAGCTCTGCTACTGATTTCGCGATTGAATCGCAATGGGAACAGGTGCACCATACAATGGATCAAGGGCCACAGTGGGAACGTGGGTAATGACATTGCGGACACACTCGCAAAGCGGGGTGCTAAGTCTGCTGACCCAAGCTGTTAAAAACTCGCTCCTTTGTCGTTTGTAAAATCGGCCATCTAAGGCCGGGCATGTGAAGCATGGGAAAGCAGATTCCTCTCTCTAGCTCCTTCTATCCACACCCGCTTTGGCCTTACTCCAATGAGTCTTTTAGACAAAAGGTATGCGTACATCGTCCCTAGCGAGCACATTGTGGTTGGCCTGCTATCGGGACACACGTGGACAGACAGTTTTGCCCACAGGATAGGCGTAATTGACGATCCTTCCTGCTCTTACTGCGACGCTGACAGGGAAGAAACTCTGTCACACATCGTGCTTGAGTGCAGCAGCCTTGATGCCCTTAGATCACCCCGTCTTTCCACCTGTGCAGAAGAATTAGGGTACACTCCGCGGTCACTCAAAGACTTTATTTTCAACAGGAGCACTTGGCGAGCCTGCCTGGAGTTCCTAAAGGCCTCTGATAGACTTAAGCCACGCGTCCGCACGGAGGATTCCGATCACCTGAGTGACTCGAACTCCTCACCTCATGGTTAACACCGGTCATTAGCGGCCGCTCGTAGACGCAACCCTGGCATGTGCCGCTGTTTAAGATCGGTTTCGCGACCTGCCCTGCGTATGTGATCGCCCCTGATGCTGTCTCTGTAACCCAAGGACAGAGGGCAAATGGTTTGGCGATTCGACGGCGCGGGCTGCTCGAGAAATCGACTTACGCAGCCACCCATTTGAACGCGCTATGCAATCTATGGTGACTTTTCAGGTTGGTTGTCTTAGTACTGGTACCCTCACCAGTAATCTTATCTAAAACTTTTTATATATTTATTTTTACAAAAAGAAAATCTATCTTTTCCCATCAGTTGATGAATCATTCCCGCTTTATCTAATATTCTTATTTAGACAACAGCTGTCTTTCCTTATCTTCCCTGGCCTGGGGAATCTAACATTTTTGAACAACCTTTGTTGCGTGCAGCACCTTGGTCTTTGATATAGTGCATTGCGGCTTGTCTGCTTGCTACAATATTTTGGGCTTAGAAATCATACACTTTAAGCATTGCGGTATTTCTGCTCTCCACGGTCAAATTTTTTAACACATTAATAAATTCACTTCCAGACATGATTTCCAAAAGAAGATCTTGCAAAACGACCCAAATATTTTCTGTTATATATGTGGCGAATATACTGTAAAAGCGCAAAGAAATGCAGTACCAGACTTTGTAAAGCGGGCGTATTTCGCATATTTTGGTATAAAATTAGGAGACAAGGACAAGACATGGGCTTCACATAAGGTATGCAAAACGTGTGTCGAAACACTGCGCCTGTGGACAAAGGGTGAAAGGGAACTGACATTTGGGATCCCTATGGTTCGGCGAGAGCCAAAAAATCATAACAAAGATTGTTACTTTTGCGTACAAGACTTGAAACACTTTAACAGGAATGGTAAGAAAAAGCTTATATACAAAGACCTATATTCAGCTAGACTTCCAATACCACACAGCCCAAATAGTCCCCCTCCCAGTTTTTTCATCCAGTGCTAATAATCCTCTTTATGATGAATCAGAAGACACTATACATAAATATATCGAACTGGATGATTCTGATAGTGAGAACTATGGAGAACAAGAATGTCCAAAACGTTTTTCACAACCAAAACTGAAAGATTTGGCACGTGACCTGAGATTTCAAGGCAAGATGCGGAACTGCTTGCTTCAAGATTAAAAGAAATGAGCCAACTCTAAGACGATCTCAACGTAACATTTTATCAGACAAGAGAGAGTTCGTTCGATCCTTTCTATCAGCAGGATGCAAATCTGGTTTACTACACTAACGTAAAAGGCTTACTACACCTTTTAAAACTAGACGAATACCGTCCTGAAGATTGGCGTCTATTTATCGATGGTTCCGTGCATAACCTCAAATGTGTTTTACTTCATAATGGAAATAAATATGCATCAATTTCAATAGCGTATACAACAACAATAAAGGAGAATGTTGAAAATATGAAAACCATCTTGAATAAAATAAAATACAATGAGCATAATTGGTTTATTTGCGTTGATTTAAAATTTTTTAACTTTTTACTGGGATTTAAAAGTAGATACACCAAGTATCCTTGTATTTTTATGCATGTGGGATAGAAGGGCAC